AGCCGCCGGGGACCCCTGCCCGATTCGCCGGCCCGGCACCGGACCCCTTCCCGGGCCGCAGCGCTGCTCGTCAGCGGTCTTTCCCGACCGTGGGTTTTCCCTCTGCGGCGCTTTCGGTAACGCGTCCGCCTCTGTGCCGATGCTCTGCGGGTACCTGTGGGTTTTGATCACGCCCTCCACTTGCTGCCTGCTGAGCGAGGCTCAGTCCATTTAGCTTTCTGCTCGAGACAGGCCCTGGTCAGCTCCGTGCTGCTCTTCAAATTCCCTTCTTCCCAGGGCCAAAGCGCCAGGATTACAAACAACGGCATCCCCTGAAGAATGGGAAGGGAACACCTGTCACTCCTCTGCTGCCTCTTTCTTTCCTTATAGGATGCTTTGACATTATCAATCAGCAACACTGTCTCTCCAGCCAAATGACGCTTTACGTTGACATCTGTTCTGCGGCCAGCTACCCACCCCGGTCCCTGCAGGCGATCCAGCTCGCCGGTGCCTCTTGGCACAGATGCAGAAGTCTTATTTCCACACGCTCTGCCTCCTCGGGCTCGCTAACGCAACCTTCAAGGAGCTTGGGAGTCTGTGCAGGCTTTCCCTGCAGTTCAGTCTGTTTTGCTGCTTATGGTCCTTGCTCTGAGATCTCTCTGTGGGTATAGCTGTGTCTGCCCGCACCGATGTAAATCGATGTGGTAGTAACCCAAAGCATTCTATGATTCTAAGAGAGATCGATGTGAGTCCGCGACAAAGAGTTCTGTCCTGAGCGATGAGATTCACCGTGCAGCGGGCAAAATGCTGCAGCGAGGTGGTGAGGTGAGATGGGGTGTCACGTTCTATCACATTGTCTCCAATGCAGGTACAGTTCCATGAAAGACTATTTATCTGAATTGGACAAAGAGACAAAAAAAGCTTTGGAGACTTTCTACGGATTTTCAGAGGGCAAGTCCAAGGTGCGCCGGTCGGTGGATGAGTGGAACAGCACAGGGAGCGACTTCTTCAAACACATCCCTCTGCTGAAGTTTGAGGACTTCTCTAAGACTGCGACTGACCTTCGCAGTGGCCAGAAGAGGAAAATAGAGGGCAGTGTCTTTCACAAGGATTCATCCATAGTGAACTCTGGGGATTCAAATGATATCATCGGCTTCCAGCTGGTGAGTGCCACTCTTCCCTGGCCAGCAAGTTCCTTGGGGGGCAATGAAGGGTGTTTTGGGTTGGTATCCCTCCAGTCAGTTTTATTGCTCGGTTAAGTGGCTTTATAGTGAAATAACGCTCCCTCTGCTCTTTTGCCCGTTCTGCCACGCCTCCGTGGCTGCCTGCAGATTCATCTCCAGCTCTCTGGAAGAGAAATGCCTTCCTGAAGTCTACCCAAATAGACTTAGTGCCTTCCGTGACCCGTTCTGTGGGCCTGAAACATTTGATTGTATCGCTTGGCCCTGAATGAAAGGTCTTTGATGCCCTTTTGTCCCCTTTGTGCTACTAGAACTTCATGCGTGGTTCTTGCTGTGGAAGAGAAACAGTATCACACATACCTTGTAGAATACATAATTTCATTTCATCTGAAATGCTTTTTCCCCTTTGTAATTATCAGTGCGATGCAAACAACAGCAGTGAGTGTGCACTTTATACATTCAGTTCTGGTGTTAATGCTATCCAAGAATGGTACAAGCTGCATTACATGAACATCATGGCACAAATTCCCCTGGAGACTAAAGAAAAATTGAGTTATTCTGCTGATGACCTTCTACTGACATGTTTCTTTGATGGCCTATCTTGTGACAAAAGGTCAGTGCACAGAAAATACCTGCCAGCTTAACAGCTTATTTCCAAGTGCATAACACGTAGGAATCGAGTATTTGGTATTTGCTGAATTCCAGCAGGAACCGTTTCCATTTTTAAACGAAAGCAAACATTTGCGTCTTCATGAACTTTAATTACGCCCTTTAATTTACTTTGTCTTAGTGTTCTGCTGTCCACATTTCAGATGAACTCGTGAGTTTTGGCAGAATCAAATCTGCCTGCTTATGATTGTGGCAGTGCAATTCTTGTGTATCCTGGTAGCAGGAGAGTCATCCCTTCATGCTGGGGATAACGGCAGCGTTCCCCTGTGCAGTTGTGGGGATAGGATTGCACTTGTACACAGGTTTAGCAATTTCCCCACTGCCGTGCGCAAAGCAAGCAATGTAACTCATTACCGAAGGCATTTTGCTTGTGCCTGTAATTGTGCAAATGCATAACATCTTTTCTTAGAATGAAGATATTTGCTTGAGTGGGAGGGGATGTTCACAGGAAAGACATGAATGCTTGAATCACGAGGGTGTGTCCCCAGCCTTCCCTGCATGACAGTGGCTATGACACCTGTTCTGAAAAATGAAGATTCGTGTTCCTTTAGACACTTGGCTGTCAAATGGAAGAGGACTCTGTCCCCTCCACCACCACGTTCCTTCTAGCTCTGTAAATTCGCTTCCCCCACCCTCTCAGCCCCCATTCCCACATGAAACCCTCCTAAACTTTTCATTTGCCGATGCTATTAAACCAGATCATATTTCCGTGTAGTTTCAAGATATTAAGAAAAAGACCCACACTTTTCAGCAAAATAAATTGCTTGCAGAAAAAAAAAGAAAAAATCCAGTCCTGCTACGTCTCTGCCAAAACAAAAAGCCCAAATCTGCTGATTTTCTCCCGCAGGCAGTTAAAACTGCAGAGGGCAATGTAACGATACTTGGTTTCTTTCAGGCACTTCACTCGTTTCCATCATCCCCTGCATGGCAATTGCTATACCTTCAACAGTGGGGAGAACGGGACGATCCTGAGCACCTCCACGGGAGGCAGCGAGTACGGTAAGGAAACTGAGTTTGCAGAG